AGATAGATAGATAGATAGATAGATAGATAGATAGATAGATAGATAGATACATACATACATACATACATACATACATACATACATACATACATGCATAGGTAGATACATAGATAGATACATAGATAGGTTGGCAGGTAGGTAGATAGACAGACAGACAGAGAGATGATAGATGCTCCACAAAGGGGCATCTTTCCTCAGCACTGACCCCCCCACCACCTGACCTCCAGAGGTTAAGCTGACTCCTGAGCTCTCAGGGCACAGACTCAGCCCCTCCACAGAGAGGCCGGAGTACTGTAGGCGTTCCCTTCCGTTTTCCAATGTGCACAGTTAGTCACACTTCCCTTTTCTGACCGGGCCACCCTGTGACACCATAGAGTCTCCACTGGGCTGAATCACGCCCCTGTTCATTCTTAGACACTTCCTGTGCAGGGCACCCTAGCTCACCCCACATCCCACCCCCACCTCCTGGAACAAGACCAAACATTTGTCCCAGTAGTCGGTCCCTCACCTCTTTGCCACTCCCACAAGCAGGGTGGAGCCAAACGCCCATAAGTCCCCGAACCTTGAACCTCACCAGCCATCCCCTCCCCCACTTCCGGTGTCCTCAGCTCAGGAAATGTCCAGTGTCCACCCTGGACTTTCTAACAAAGGAGGAAACACAGCTAAGTGTTTGGCCGGCAGGCTGGGAAGCCCCATGCCCTCCCCCTGGGCATTCCCTAGCAGGCATCCATGCATAAGCTCCCGAGGCCCAAAGTCAAGGCCAAGAGCAGTCAGGAGGGCCAGTTGCCAAGGCAACAGGTCTACAGAAATACTGGCAGCTCTCAAGGCTCAATTATTCAAGACCTCATTACACAGGATTCACATTGCCCCCTCCATTCCTTCTCCATTCCCCAGAGGACAGCATGGAAGCTACTCAACCCTTCCAAGGCCCATCCTTCCCTCCGTCCCTGCCATAGAGACGAATTAGGTTTGTGGCTTTCTGGTTATAGGGGAGACAGGTACTCCAACCTGGAGAGTCAAGGCAGAGGGCCCAGCTAACTCACAGGAGGGCATACCAGCAGAAGCAGCAGGTGGGGGAGAGAGGGGAGGCACTGCCAGGGTTCCGGGTACATTTAAACTGGGCCACACTGGGCCCTCCATCTCATAAAAGCAAGGAGGAGAAGCACTTAAAATCAGAAACTGAGGCCAGCTCATTATTTCACTGGTGCATCCCTTGTGCTCCAAGAGTGTAAGCACCACCTCAGAAAAGCTGTAACAGGGGCCGGGAAGGCGGCCCAGTGGGCAAGATGCTCGCATGAGGACCAGAGTTCCATCCCCAGCATTGGCAATTTAAAAAAAAAAAAAAAACAGTCAAAAGCCAGGTGTTGTAATCTCAAGTTAGGGAGGTGAAGACAGAAGACCCTGGGGTTTGCTGGTCCAGTCAAAGGGCTTCGGGTTCAGTGAGAGACTTTGCCTCAAAAAAACAAGATGGAACCCAGCATAGTGGCACACACCTTTAATACCAGCACACAGAAAGCAAAACCAAGCAGGTCTCTTAGGTTCCAAGCCAGCCTGGACTATACAATAAATATCCCCAGGCCAGCCAGGGTAGCTACGTAGAAACATCGGGTAGATAGATAGATAGATACATACATACATTGACAGACAGATGCTTGATAGATAGATACATAGACAGATAGGTAGTTAGGCAGGTAGGTAGTTAGGTTGATAGAGGAACATTGAGGAAGACATCCAGCATTGACCCCTGGCCTGTGCTTGTGTGTGCACACACATGGAACACACAGCAGCTGTAGCCACTCATATCCTTATGTGCGCTTTTCTATAAAGATTTTCTTTCTTAGGTTTCATCCCAACATCCCCAGCCCCACACCCGGACCCCCTGATAGAGCTTAGGATCATGGGATTTCCCATAAGCTTCCACATTATACCACCTATTCCCAGGGCCCTGAAAGGACTGAGCCTCTCCTCTCCATCCGATCCACACAGACAGTGAGCCACAAACCGGCAGCCCACACCTCCAGGTCCTGATACAGGGAAGGCTGAGGCAAGAGGATCACTTGAACCCAGGGCTGAGTCCAGACTTGGTGACACACCAAAACCCCAACTCAAAAACAAAACCAGACAGTGAAAAAGGACTCAGGTCCTTCGTTGTCACAGCGTGTGAGAGGAAGAAAACTGATTTCTGGACCGGATCACAAGGACTGAGAAGGCAACCAGACAGGCAGTGGGTGACCAGGGGATACAACCTTCTCCCTAGAAGGAGGTGAACGCAAGCCAGCCTGGAGGGAAGACTTGTGAGGAGAGAAACACATTTGGTTGGAAATAAACTCTAGGAAAAGAGACCAGGCCTGCCTGCCCTCAGGGAACCGGGCAATCTAGTTTGGTAAAGGGCATTCCTAGGGCTGAAGGCCTGGGGAAACAGGAGGCAAGTCTGGGCAGGGTGTGGGGGCCACAGAACTTCAGGGCTTCTATCAAAGTGTAGGTGGCACCACACTTCCAGACAAGCTCTGCATTTCCCTACATGCCCTGCCGTTCAAGGCCACAATGAGCCTGCCTGTAATTTAGGGCCTGGAGGTTTCTTTAAGAGTAAATGTATCACCCCTGCCCATCGGGGCCAGGAGGTGATGATCAGTCACTTCCTGAGACCAGCTTGTCCTGGAGGCCCAGACAGGCTTTCGAGGAGTCAGTCTGCCCCCAGGGGCTGGAGGACCTGCTCTGCAGACCCTGACTAGGTGGTCCGAGCAGATTAACCCCCCCCCCCAAGGAAGTCTGTCCCCGGGGCTTCTCTCTACCTGCCTTTTCTCAGCAAGGCCCTCCCATTCCCTAGTGAGCGCCTGGAATCTCAGCCCAGGGGCAAAAGCCTCCAGGCCAAGACAATAGAAAATTCAGGAATGTCTCTGCAATGGGAGTGCTGGAAACTCCTGTATGCTTAAAGCACAGAAGTTACATCCCTTGCAATTTTTTTTTTTTTTTAAGTTTAAAAAGTAAAAGGAGGTCCTTTTAAAATTACTTTCCTGAGCAAGGGGCAAGATCTTGCCGGGAAGGGGGGAGGGGAGGTAGGAACAGGTCGACTCTTGGCTCTGGTTCCAGGCTTCCCAGGCTCCTGGCTTGTGTGTCTTGCGCCCTTTCACTGACTTCCAGCTTAGGGACCGAGCCAGGCTTGCAGGCATCAGTCAGCAGCCCGTCCTCTCAGCCAGCATGTGTCCAATCACTGTGACGAGAGTGTCACACGACAAGCGTGGGCACGGGAACCTTAGACTGCTCTGCCAGAGCAGAACGCATGTCCTAGGCACCTAGCCAGCACCGCAAAGGTCACAGGGACGAGAACCCGCCTGTCCCAAAGGTCGAGGGGAGTGCAGCCTGGGCGCGGCAGGGGCGGGGGGGGGGGGGAGGGGGTGTTCATTGGCGCCGCAGAGGCGAGCTAGGAGCGGACACCCAGGGGACGACGCTGGCACCGGGCTGGCGCCAATGGGACGCACTCACCCTCCCTTGTCTTCTTCTTCCTCGCCAGTGTACCGCCCAACTTGCCCAGGAAAGACTCGTCCTTCTTCATCTTGGGGGCCCGCGGGGTGGGCGATCGTGGTGGCGCGGAGGACATGGGCGAGTGCACGCCACTCACCGCCGGCCGGGGAGTGGCCAGGAGGGCGCGGCCGCGGCTTCCCCGCCCCTGCCTACTGACCCAGAGGTCCTGGTGCTGCCGCTGAGCTCCCGCCCGCAACACAGCGGGACCCTGAGCGTCGTGCCAGGCACGGCCGGCCCCCTTTTGTGCTGCCTCAGCGTGCTGGAAGCCCAGAATCAATTAGTCCCACAAATGTGTAAGGTCAGCTGTTGAGTCTCTTGCCAGGATCCCGGCGCAGGTCTAAGGCACAACTTGGGTCGATGCTGGGGTGTAGTAGGTGCCTTTGTGGGACAGTGGCCTCACACACTGGGATCCTTCCCCCAAGGCAAGCTTAGCCAAAGGCTTCCACGGGAGCCACGGGCCAGCTCCTGGCAGGAAGAATCAGGGAGGGACAGCATGGGCTCTTGGAGGGAGAGCGCAGGCCCAGGAAGGATGCTAGGCTAAAAGACTTGGCCAGGTTTGAGTTGCACAAAATCGACTGTTGCTGACTTGGGAATAGTAGGTGGTGAACAAGGATGAGGCCAGGCAGGGAGGTTAACTAGAAGGGAAGTCAAAGAGTTTCTAGAGACGGTGCGGGGCGGGTTGTAGAAACAGCCTGAGAACCGAGGCTTGGGCAGAGGGAAAGCCAAATGGCCTGTGGCTCCGGGAGAAAAGTGAGCGCATGTCTCAGCAGAGATAGGAGCTATCAGGACCTGGGCAAGGGTGAAGCTGCCGCACCTAATCGTGGGGGATGGGTGGAGTGGGTCGTCCCCCCCCCCCCCCCCCCCCCCATTGCGCAGGCTCAGAAACTCACTGCCTGTGCTGAGCAACTTCTGTACAGTGCAAGAAATATTCACACTGTAGTTTTGGCAGAAGGGGTGTGGCTGAACTGGCCCTTCAGCTGGGATGTGCCCGATCTCTCCTTGGAATTCGTCATGGAGCATAGGGTATCCGGTACCTACGCAGTTTACAAGTCAGGGATGGGATGGGGTCAGTGGAGACCCCAGCAGGAGAGGAAGGATTGGAGGGCCAGGGTTTAGGAAGAAACAGGGAAGAGAGAGTTGTTAGGGAGGGATGGTTTCAAAGACCGGATAGAAAGAAAACTCAGGCAGAGGACAGTTATCTCTAATCCTGGCCCAGTTCCCAGCAGCTCCTATCTCTAGAGCCACCACCCTCCTGGCAGCACAAGCCATTTGGCTTTCCCTGGCCAACTCCATATGGCTGAGGCTATCCCCCCCCCCCACTTCCCTATTCCCACTTAATCATGGGGGAGCCTCTGAGACCCCAGGATCCCAGAAATCTCAGAAATGCAAACTCCCAACCTCCAACGTGATGATTAATCTGTCAATTGGACAGCATCCCAAGTCACCTTGGAAACAAAGCCCTGGAAGCACCTAGAGGATTAACTACTTTGGGTTGTGGAGGGACACCCCATCTCAACTGTGGGCACCCCATCCCAGGAACTGGGCTCCAAACTGGATAAAAAGATGTGATAAACTGGATAAAACTGGATAAAAAGAATAGCTAAGGCTATTCTTAGCTGTCAGCTTGACTGCATCTGGCATTAACGAAGACGTCAGTTGCTGTGCACACCTGCGAGGGATTTCTCTTAATTAAATCATCTGAGGTGGGAAGAACCACCCTAAACCCAGTTCTTTTGAGGTGGGAAGGTACGCCACACCTTCTGCTGGCTGCCTATACAAAGGACAAGAAAGAAGGAAGCCTTCTTCTTCTTCTTCTTCTTCTTCTTCTTCTTCTTCTTCTTCTTCTTCTTCTTCTTCTCCTCCTCCTCCTCCTCCTCCTCCTCCTCCTCCTCCTCCTCCTCCTCCTCCCCCTCCTTCTCCTTCTCCTGCCTTCCCTTGCTCTTGCTGGCAAGTCTTTCACTGGCATTAGAAGCCCACATCTTCCAGATTCAGGCTTATACTGAAGACCACCTGAGACATCCAGCCTCATGGACTGAACAACTACTTTCCAGTAGATTCTTGTACTTTCCATTGGTGGACAGCCACTGTTGGACTAGCTGAACCACAACGTGTAAGCTACTCTACTCAATTCTATATAGGCACACACTCACATATACACACATATATACAGAGGCATTTGTCTGAGTGCACATACATACATATAATGTATGTAAGGAGAAAGTGAACTGAGAAGCAGCATTCATATCTTACTGTGGATGCAATCTGAACGGCCACCTCACACGCCTGCTACCACACCTTCCCCTCCTTGACGAACTGTGTACCCTCAAACTGTAAGCCCAAATAAATCCTTCCTTAAATTGCATCTGTAACAGGGAAAGCAACTAATGTAATGAAAAGGGCATGGCAGAAGACAGGGGGCCGGAGAGAAGAGAACTTTCAGAGGAGATTGGCAAACCCCACAGAGTGTATACCCGGGTTAAGGACAGGAAAGTCCAAAGGGGTCTTGAAAGGCATCTCCATCTCAAGAGAGAATTTGGATGTTGCTAACAAGCTGGGGAGAACACGGACAGATGGTAAATGCAATTTCTGACACCCCAGTGAGGTGAGGACACAGCTGAGCAGGACAGAGACTTTGGGGCTTGAGAGCAGGAAACAGGCTGTCACGCACGCACCCCCGGTTTCCATGGCTTCTTAGAGTCCGCTAGAGAAGCACACACAGGACATTCACACTGTTCCGGGAGGCCCAGCACACTCCAGGTTGAGGATCACTGACCAGGATGGAGCAAGGATGAGAAAAGGGACTGGGAACCAGAAAGAAAATGGAAGACGGCTCTCTCAGTCCTGGTAGGGTGCAGGACAGCCACAGTTGGAGACTCAGACATCAGATGCTGTCCTGGGCACAGGTAGGTGTCACTGACTGGAAGAGTGACGTGATTGTTTTACCAATGACCAGAAAGCATAAATCCATTAGAGTTACTACTCTGAATAGTGTAGAGACAAGGCAAATCCCACCTTTAAAAAAAAAAAAAATTTATTTAAGCCGGGTATGGTGGCTCACGCCTATAACCCCAGCACTCTGGGAGGCAGAGGCAGGTGGATCCCTGTGAGTTAGAGGCCCACCTGGTCTACAAAGCAAGTCCAGGACAGCCAAGGCTACACAGAAGAAACTCAAAAAACAACAACCAAACAAACAAACAAGATTTCTTTAACTTTTAATTAGGTATATGAGTGTTTGTGTGGGTCTGTACATATGAGTGCAGGTGCCTCAGAACCCAGAAGAAACTATGGATTCCCTGGAGCTGGAATTACAGGTGGTGTTGAGTATTGGGAACCAAACTCAGGTTTCTGCAAGAGCACTGTGGTATTTTAAATAAAAATGGTCCCCCACAGACTCATATATTTGAATGCTTAATCCCCATTTGGTGGAACTGTTTGGGAAGGATGGCCTTCTTAGTGTGTCACCAGGATCTAACTTTAAGGTCTCAAAATCCCGTGCCACTTCTACTTCTCTCTCTCTCTCTCTCTCTCTCTCTCTGTCTCTCTCTCATTCTCTGCCTCTCTCGCAGGTAAGAAGTTAGCTCTTAAACTCAGCTACTGCTCCAGCACCATTCCTGCCTAAATGCTCCCATGACCATGATAATCCTGGACTCAGCTTCTGAACTATAAGTCTTAAATTATGCTTTCTTTTATAAGTTGCCTTGGTCAGGGGCTGGAGAGATGGCTCAGTGGTTAAGAGCACTGGCTGCTCTTCCAGAGGACCAGGGTTCAATTCCCAGCACCACACAGTAGCTCACAGCTGTCAGTAACTCCAGTTCTAGGGGATCTGACACCCTCACACAGACATACATGCAGGCTAAAACACCAATGCATGTGAACTAAAAATAATGAATAAGTAAGTTGTCTTGGTCATAGTGTTTTGTCACAACAATAGAAAAGTAAGTAAGACAAGTAGTATGTACTCTTTTTTTAAAGACTTGTTTATTTTTTGTGTATGCGTGCTCTATCTGCATGTACACCTGCTTGCCAGAAGAGTGCATCACATCCCCATATAAATGGTTGTAAGCTACCATGTGATTGCCAGGAATGGGACACAGGGCCTCTTAAAGAGCAGACAGTGCTCTTAACCACTGAGCCATCTCTCTAGCCCTATTCTTGCTTTTTCATACATCACAAAGAAGGACTTCAGCCTCCTAGCTCCTGGCAGGGGCTCCTGTGTTTCAAGAGAAGCCACAGACAAAGGCTATTTGTCCGGGAAACTGACATGGGCTATGCCAGACAGTGGGATCTTGGCATTTGAGTTGCAGAGACCAGACTCCAATGATAAAGACAATTGTTTAATACTTGCTTCTTAGTGACATTTTTTCAACACCTTGCCTGGTGAGGGACACATTTCATGGTCTCAGGCTTACAGCCACATACTCACCGTATTTTTCACTCACCACTTGCTGCGAGATGAGGTGGTTTTGTAGTCAATGCAATTTTAAAGATGATCTGAGACTCTTGCAATAGTTAAAAATGGATTTTCATCCCATGAATGCTACTGAGAGCAACTGAAAGCATCCTTAGAGGCTGGGAAGACGGCTTACTACACAAGCAAGAGGATCTGAGGCCAGTCCCCAGCATCCTGATCAGAAACTGTGTGTGGAGGTGCCTTGTAATCCCAGCATGGAGGAGGCAAAGATACTCAAACCCCTGAGGCTCTCTGGTCAGCCTGTCTAGATTAATCAGCAAGGCCCCATCCCAGTGGGAGATCCTGTTTCAAACAAACAGAAAAAGATGGATGGTTGGGCTGCAGAGACAGCTCAGTGGTTAAGAGCACTTGCTGCAGCCCAGTAGCAGTGGTGGCGAACGCCTTTAATCCCACCACTCAGAAGGCCAAGGCAGGAGGATCTCTGTGAGTTCGGGGCTAGCATATTCCACATAGTGGGCTCAAGGACAGCCAGGGCTACGCAGAGAAACCCTGTCTCGAAAAGTCAAGCAACAGCAGAAGAGTACTTGAAGAGGACCTACTTTTCATTTTCAGTACCTACATGGCAGCTCACAACCTCTTAAGACGCCATCTGTAGATCCAACACCCTCTTCTGGCCTCCAAAAGAGGGTATACATACACATAAAGAAAAAGAGTTTTAA